AAAAACACGATCAGTTCTTGTTTCAGCTGTGGATCATTTTCCTCAGTAAATAAATAAACAGGTATAATGTTTTTGACTCATTTGTTTTATTGGGTGCTCTTTATCTAGTTTTAGGACTTGTGCAGAGAACAGATCACATTTTAGGTCATATTTATACAGTCTAAGCAGAGCCAACTAAGCAAATGTAAGGATGTTCTTGTGTAACAATTAGATGGTTTTTGATCCTTAGTTGAATGGGGAGAGAGAGAGAGATAGATAGATAGATAAATATAGTGGATTCTATTGTTATATCTGATCGTAGCCCATTAGCATTATCAGTTACTACAAGAAACTTATGCCATTTTTCTAAATGTTAATATAAATTAATTTAATATATAAATATATAATTATTAAAGGATCTTTTTATAAAGCAGATGTAATTTTTTCCTTATAAATATTCTTCAAATGTATTGGTTGTGTGAGGCACCTTGAAAGCTTTTATACAGAGTCATATTTTTGCTTCTACTTCATGGAGAAAGAAAAAAAAGTTAAACAAGAAAATGTAGGAGAAAAAAGTTAAGAAACTTTTGATTACATATGCAAGGTGGCCCTCACTTGAATTATATAAAGCTTGTATGAGTGCTTCATAACATCTTAATTTCCTTTATGTAATTGAAGCAGAATAGTCACTGAATTGTATAAAGCAAAGATGTTGGGAGTGAGATGAAAGACCCGATAAATTATTAGTCTCTTGGCTGAAACAGTTACAGCAGTGTAATTTTTTTCTACTAATAAGGATGCTCCAAGTAAAATATATAAGGATTATGACTTGATTTAGGCTTTTTTACTTTTATTGTTTAATATCAAACAAAATACAGTTTAATCAACGTTTATATAATATAGCTTTTCCTCAGATTACCCATGATAAAGCTACCTAATATGCTGTTCTTTTTCTCTCTCCAAGAAATAATAGATATCATTAAATCTATGAAACAGGAAAATTTCCCAGTCAGGATGATTATCCCATTGAGTGATATAAGATATATTTTATAAAATATAAGTGGTATATAAATTAAGTGGTATTAAGTTCTTTGTCCCCATGTTATTGGAGGTTTATAAGTATCTCTTTTTAAACAAAGTTTTTCCAGTCTCCTCCTCTGAACCTCACGTAACTGACTTTGAAGCCTGGTAACGAACCTGCTGACTACACTATGGCATCTGAGTTCTTGTTAAATGTGTTATATTTATATATATTTTTCTTTTTGTATATTAAAGCAATAAAAACCATATTGCCAAAACCTGATAGTTTTATTTTTGAAGAAAAATGCCTTTGCCTAATTATTATAGGAGAAGAATTGTGTTAGTCTATGGTGGCCAAAAATCAGGAGTCTGGTAGCACTTTTTCTGAATGCAAATTTTATTAAAAGGAGTAAGTTATGAAGTGAGAACAGAAAAGGTGCTCCTAGACTCCTTCTGAACGTTGCCTAATCAAAGATAATTGGCTTACTAGAATTAGTGATACCAAGCGGGAAAATTGAATTTGATTGTTTTGAGATAACACTTATAACAATTTGCTGTTAATTTATATGGGTCCTGTTTGTGTTATACGTTTACCTTAATAATGTTTATCCCTAACACTAAGTGTTTGAGAGAGAAATGGAATGCAGTAATTTTTATTTGCTAAAAATTAATTATTTGTTTCAAAATTTGGTTACTGCTCTTTTTATATGTTTCTTTCTTACAGTCAAATTGATTACCGAGCCAAGCTTTGGAGTTGTAACTTCTGCTTTCAGAGGAACCAGGTAAGTGTGAAAATGTTATGTTCCAACATTAGTATGTTTTTTCAAAAAATCTTGCTGGTGCTAAAGTGATTCCACTGACTTTCTCCAGATTAATTGCAGTTAGTTCATGTTAAAATATGGGTTGTGCTAATCATAGTTTAGAAATCAAACCACAGATTGTGTAGAACAGGCAGCCTGAACTCCTGTTTATTAATCTCTGGATGAAACACAATAGCTATAATTATGGTTTCTCAGTTACCACATCATACCAAACCAAAGGTAACACATGCTTGGGTTCATTATTTTTTTTTATTTCACTGTGCATCTGCTATAAACAAAGCCAATTTGGTCTAGTGGTTAAGGCACCAAACTAGAAAGCAGGAGACTGAGTTCTAGTTCTGCCTTAGGCATGAAAAACTGGCTGGGTGAGTTTGGGCCAGTCACACTCTCTCGGCCCAACTTAGCTCACAGGGTTGTTGTGGGGAAAATAGGAGGAAGGAGTATTAGGTATGTTTGACGCCTTGAGTTATTTATAAAAATAATAAAGGAAGGATAAAAAAATCTAAAAAAAGCCATTGTAGTTTGTAAATGACAGCTTGGTGTGATGTGTGACTAATAAAATGTATCTTGTTAAACAAATGATAACATGAGATATGAAAATGGGATGATTTCTGATTTTGATTTGCTGATGATTTGCACACCACTTAGTCATCCAGACATCACAACAAATCTTAATTGGTGTTTCTTACCTATGGCTTTATGTTTGTATTGAATGTACAAGTGACATTCAGATAACAGTTAAACTGGTATGCAGGTCTGGGATATGATTTTCAGAAAAATCATAAGCCATACCTACATTTGATTGCAAGCAAAAGGCCAAGAAGCCAGATACCATTATAAAGGGAAAATGAAATCAAGATTCATATGTTTAATTGAAAGAAAAAAATTGCTTGCCAACATTACATTTTATTAAGAATGTTGGTATTTTTCAGCACAAGCTCTAATTCTTGATGTATTTTTTTCAGTTTCCTCCAGCGTACGCAGGCATATCTGAAGTGAATCAGCCAGCAGAGCTTATGCCGCAGTTTTCCACAATAGAATATATAGTCCAGGTAGTCCTTTTTATTATGTCTGAAATTCCTCCATAACTATATTCAATATTTCTATGGCAGGCTATAAGAATAAAGTGCTTTAACCATGGTTTTTTGTAATGGAAGTTAGGGTCTTCCACTATATGTACTTTTGTGTGATACATATTCCTTTTTTTTCCCACCCAAGCGTGGCCCTCAGACACCCCTGATCTTTCTTTATGTGGTAGACACATGTTTGGAAGAGGAGGACTTACAAGCTTTGAAAGAATCCTTGCAAATGTCTTTAAGTTTGCTCCCTCCTGATGCTCTTGTGGGCTTAATTACCTTTGGTCGAATGGTTCAAGTTCATGAACTGAGCTGTGAAGGGATCTCCAAAAGTTATGTTTTCAGAGGAACTAAAGATCTGTCAGCAAAACAAATACAGGTATACTTTGCATTGTCTTCTATGAAAAGTTGAACAGGATTTCCCATTTCTTATTTCCCATTTTTTTGTAAATTCTTCTGATCTTTTACAGTTTTAATGGATGTTTTTCATTGTCAGGATATGTTGGGTCTTTCAAGGCCTGCTGTGCCTACTCAGCAAGGGAGACCTCATCAGTCCCAAGAACCACCTCTCATTTCTAGCAGGTATGTAGCTCTGCAGAGCAAAGAATATTTCGAATGATGCAAATGCATTAATTTTTTTCTTAAATCCCAAAAGAGACAACTTTTAAAAAACAGGCCTATTTTTGCTATTTGAAATAGTTGCCTTTTCGGATTTAAGATCAAAGTATTAATATCCCACAAGTTTAATCCAGTAAACATTTTCAGTTCCAAAAGATGTGAGATTAGCATTTGATCCTATTATTAATATGCAATAAATAATTAGAGATATGGAATTCGTTACATTTTACCGTTTATTTATTTATAGTTTTATGCTGCTTCCTATATAAATGTATCAAGGTAGTACATAGATGAGAATAAATTTAGTAAAATACAACTAATAAGATTACAGAGAATTAAAACAGTTAATATAAAAGCATATACATTCAAGAGGGGAAGGGAAAGACATTCATCCATAACATTCACACAAGGAACATATAGCTGGAGGTAAGTTTTCCATAGAATTGAGAAGATATAGTAGGAGATGCTCTTAAATAACAGTGGAAAGAATGTTCTACTGTGAAGAATGCAAGTAAGCACAGGATGACAATCTGCAGGTTGTGATATAAGCAGCAGAATCTTCTCTCATTATAGTGATGAGACTGAAGAAGAAAGGTGATTTGCCTAATTCCAAATTGTTTGCAGTCTTAATCATTTCCAGGGAAGAAATGGCAAACTAAACTCTGCTAAAAGCGGGGCTGACGACCGCAGCAGAATGAAGAGCCAGCAAGTAGACTGGCTCTTTGTAATTCCTCTCTGGACAACCACATTTTTATCTAATTTGCAACCCCTGGTTCAAACATAAACTAGTGCTGCATTCAGTGCATTATGTTAGTCTAAACAAGCCACCGGAGCAGTGGCCAGGCCATCTGTATGCAGGAAAAGATACAGCTGGTAATAGATAAATCAAGCTACAGAGGTCATTTGGCCTCCAAGGGCAGTGATGGTTCTAGGAATGTTTCCAAAATTAAGAGTGTGCTCTTTCACCTCTCCCCAAATATTCAGACTATCCCTCTTATGTGCTGAGGCAAAAACTATGTTGAAGGTATGCTGTGTCCCATGCATTGATCCAATAACAATATGAGTTGCTCCCATGTTTATCCCAGAGACCATGAAATCCTGAGCAGGCCCTGCTAATGTAGTTGGTGTGAATATTTCAGTTCCATGCATGTGATCTAGCAATAGATTCGCTTGAGCATTTCAGGCACTTATAAATTTGTTGCGGGATAAAGTTATGACAATATCAGACAATGTGCAAAGGAATTATTTTATCTATAGGTGGGTGATATGTTCAATTAATGTTCTTTAGTATTCAGTTTGGTTTTTTCCTTTTTTATATATTAAATTTTGCTAAGATGAATATGTAAGCAATCTTAATAATTTTACACTGATTTAGCTATCCAGATTCACTATGCTCCTACTCAGCCTCTGGAATATGAAATGGCAAAGGGGCTGGACAGGATGGCCCTTTTTCTTGGGGGTTGAGAATGTGGACTGTCCTGCAATACCATCTGGGATTTGGATGGTTAAAGCATAAGAAAGTTAATGTTTCGGAATGGCCAAAGTCCTGACCTTAATCCTATAGAAATGCTGTAGAAGGACCTGAAGTGGGCAGTTCATGCAAGGAAGTCCACCAACATCCCTGAATTGAAACTGTTCTGTAAGGAGGAATAGGCTAAAATTACTCCTAGCTGATGTGTAGGACTGATCCATGGTTCTCAGAAATGTTGACTTGCAGTTTTTGCTGCCCAAGGGGGGCACACCAGTGATTGAAAGCAAAGGTTCAGATACTTTTGCCATACACAAATATGTAGCTTTGGGTCATTTTCCTCAATAAATACATGAACAACTATAATGTCTTTGACTCATTTATTTAATTGGGAGCTCTTTATCTAGTTTTAGGACTTGTGTGGAGAACAGATCATGTTTTAGGTCATATTTATGCATAAATATTGAAAATTCAATAGGGTTCACAAACTTTTAAGCACCATTGTATGACTGGATACATGCCCTTCCTGGCTCATTCATGCAGCCAGAGTTTACAGAGGCTTTGGGGTGTAATTCAAGGTGCTGGTCATTGCCTTTAAAGCCCTTCATGGCGTACGGCCTGGTTATCTGTGGGATTGCCTGTCTCCAATTGTCTTAGCTTGCCTGGTATGTTCAGGCAGAGTGGGTGCACTCCAGGTCCCTTCTATTAAACTTTGCCATCTTGTGGGACCAAGGAAGTGTGCCTTCTCTGCCACTGTCACTGCCCTCTGGAACAGCATCCCTCCGGAGATACAAATGACGCCTGACCTCCTGGGGTTCCAGAAAGCCCTCAAAACCTGGCTCTGTTCCCAGACCTGGGTTTCATGTGTTTATTGATGTATTTGTGGAGTGTCTAAATAGAGGAGGCAGCTATAACAAATTAAATGAAATTAAATTCTTTCCCTGTTAATGTTTAGGAGGGCAGTTAAAACTCTAGTCTTCTATAAAGACTTTGGGGAATGAGTACTACTGTTGTCTGAGTTCTGGGTGTACTATCTTTTTTTAATGTTGGTATCTGATCTACTGATTCAATAAGTATTGGTTGTTATTGTACTATGTTTTATTGAAAAAGCTGTTTTGAGTTTATGATTAAATCACTACACATTTTCTAAATAAATGAATTAGTATCTAGAGCATAATCAACAATATTATGTCTTTCTTTCTCTCCTTCCCTCTCTCCTTTTTACATTTAAAAATCTACATTTTTAAAATAATGTAGATTTTTGCAGCCTGTTCACAAAATTGACATGAACATGACAGATCTTCTAGGAGAACTGCAAAGAGATCCCTGGCCAGTTACTCAGGGAAAGAGACCCTTGCGATCCACTGGAGTAGCTTTGTCAATTGCTGTTGGACTACTAGAGGTATCTTTACTTTTTTGACAAACTTAAATACTTTTAGAAATAATCTAAACTATACTAGTGTTGTCTGAAAGCTATATATTTTCCAATATATGTATTTTTGGATGTGGCACAGCTGAGCCTGTAGTATTGTTGTTTCTGCTTCAGTTTGCTAGATTTGCCTTTTTTCTGGAAATTCCAATAAGTTAATTCTGAGGCTGTGGGGAGATTTTAATTCCACTTTTTTCTGCCTCAGCCCAGCAAGTTTTTTATTTCCTTCTGGAGTTTTGCTCTAGTTTTAACAGAATACTGCTTTTTCCCAGCTAGAAGGAGGGATTGAGATCCTTCTGGGTCTGTGGGTCCTACCTATGTGTGATGGGTATTCAGAATCAGATACTGACTGGCAATGTAAGTGAGCATGGGAGGCCATCTCACAACAGATTAACTATCATCTAATATCCTGTAACCTTTGTTCAGAAAATTCAAGTGATTGCTATGTGAAAATAATTTTTTGAAAGTTCTTTTTTTTTTTCCAGAATGTCATGCTTTCTCCTCCTATGTTCCAAATCAAACCTTGAAAAATGTTGGTGATTGGCCATAAGCAGGTTTTTTTTCCTGCTCTTAAAGGCATGCTCCATATATATATAGACATAATATAAGTTATGGGATTCACATGCCATCAACATATTTCAAAGAAACTGAAAAGTTATGAAGACTATTTTTATGAGGAGGACAAGTCCTTAAGTTTTTTTTAATCTTTTCATATATCATATACTGATTAGGGGGACTAAGCATAAAGTTTGATTTCCATTTCTCTATGGAATCCAAGTGATCAAAAATTACTATGAGAACAATTAGAAAGTTCAATACCATGGCAGGTGCTTTTGGTCCCTTTTTCCTCTTCTAGTCATAATTCTATGGCATTTTTAACATTAACGGCTGGAAGGCAGAATTGGACAGAAGTATGATTCTGATGAATTCACATGTATTTACATGAAATATACACTTTGGGATTAAACCAAATTACATGGGGAATTTATGGGCTAATAGGAGTATTAATACTTTAGATCAACTTGTTACAAATAAAAATTTTAAACCATTTGAGATACTGAAAAAAGAAGAAAGCTCAATATTATTTTGTATGGTCAAGATTTAAATGGTTAATTTAAAACTTTTTTTAAGTATGTATTTTTCTTTTCCCTTTTGTTTGTATTTTTTTCTTTTTTCTTTTTTCTTTTTTGCATCTTTTTTCTTTTGTCTATCTGTATAATATAATAGTTATAATAATTTACTAAACTTATATGCCTCCCAACTACCAGTACTCTGGGTGGTTTACAAATTGCTTAAAACATTAAATACAAGAAAAGCAACACAAAAATGAAGTGTAAAGATGGCAAGGATGAAAAAAAACAGATGGGATCAAAGGAAAACAACCCAGACAATCTAATGGGGGCTTCAGTCACCCTTGCCAAAGGCCTGGGCAAAGAGCCAAGTCTTCAAGGTCCTTTGAAACACCAGTAGGGTGGGGGCCATTCAAATCTCGGGGGAACATTCCAGGCACTGGGACAGAGAAGGGGTACTTCTGGGGTCCTGATAGATGACCTTGTCAATCGGAGGAACCCGGAGTGCGCCAATCCTGTCAGATCAGATTGGCCAGGCAGATACTGTTGGAAATCATTCTTAAAAAAGAATGCAAGTTATGATTGACCTAATTCTCAAATGAGATGATTGTAATCAGCTAAATTCTAATTTAGTAATTTATATAATAATCTATTGGTTTTTTGTTCTGTTTTTTTCCACTTCCAAGGGAACGTTTCCAAATACTGGGGCTAGAATAATGTTGTTTACTGGAGGGCCACCAACTCAAGGGCCAGGCATGGTGGTAGGAGATGAGCTGAAAACTCCAATCCGTTCTTGGCATGATATAGAGAAAGACAATGCACGATTCATGAAGAAAGCTATGAAAGTAAGGATTAGTGTCTAGTTTGAACTCTATCAGATAAACATTTTCTATCACGTTTTCTGCTGAACATAGCTTTCACTGCCAAATAGCTTCAGAAGCTTTGATTCTTGGCTGCCTTTTCACGTGGTCGTCAGCTGCCTTGTGTGTTTAGTATTTCTACAATTACAAGTCTTTATTCTGTGTGGCATTATTTCCTCCAGCTTATCTTTTGTACTAATTTTCAGTTGACTTTGTTTCTTTTGGATCTTTGCCTTCACCTGTCCCAACTTTATGTACTAAGGCCCTGTTCCTTTATTTCCTTGATCTCCTGAACCCCTTTCTTGCTAGGCTTTCCCAAACTTACGTTTTTTGGCATACCATGTTCTCGCTTTGAATCTTAACATAAAACTTCTGTTCAGTCACCTCAAGTAACACTGCATTTCTTGCATTTAAATTGGCCTTTGTGGTTTCTCAGATGTATCAGTTCTCTTCTTCAACTACTACTACTTTTACAGTTATTCTGTTATAGGACAAATGCTTTGGAAAGCTCTGGGTAGCCAATTGCTATTATTTTTTTAATGTTTATTGAGTAATTGTTCATCCCTTCCAGAGAGTCCATAGCTTTGTATATAGAACATGCAGACCCTTACCAGTTCAGATCTCAGGTCAGCAAAGCTATTGTATTATGTGCCTTTAGATCATGCTGAACAATTATAAATAATCGTTTCTCATAATTGTCATAGAAAATTGCTTAAAGCTATTATGTTTCCACAGCATTATGAGGCATTGTCTAATCGCACTGCTGCTAGTGGACACTGCATTGATATTTATGCATGTGCTCTTGATCAGACTGGTCTTCTGGAGATGAAGTGTTGTACAAATATAACTGGGTATGTTCTTAGTCCTGACTAAAAATGTTATTTTGTTACAAAGAAGAGATATATTCCTGGATTAGCACACATATTCTAAGCTGTTTCTATCACCATGAAGAACATATGTTCAGTGGAAGTTGTGTGTGTGTGTTCATGTATGTGTACATGTTAGAAGAAGTGGTGATTCGAAATCACTGCATTTATCTTTTAAGTAATTTAAAGGCCATATGCATATAGTGTCAGTTTCTGGTTTATCATACAAGGGCATCATATTGTAAGATAATTGATGCTATTAATGCTTGCTTGTGAATAAACCTTATTGAATTCCATAGGAATTGCTCCAAAGTAAAAATGCATAGAACTGGCCTGTTGGAAATGGAATTTTTAAAAAAGTCTATATGGACAGACTTGAGTTTCGTTGGAAGCAAAAAAGAACTAACACTTACTTTCCTGAGAAGCTGTTTTTTTATAGTAGATTTAAACTCCCATCCCAAGGCATTTGTTCATGGTTTTCTTTTTTTCTTTAATGTTTCTAGGGAAATGAAGGGGATGGGAAGGAATAGTTGTAAAGAAGTAAAATTGTTCTTCATTCTTGGCATTGGTTTCCTTGCCCTTTGTTGGGAGGGGAACAAGAGGAACTATTCTAGAACTATTGCAACATACAGTCTTTCTCCCCTGTTCTGCTTCAGGCATCATAAAAGACATATTTCAGTTAATAGTGTTGCATTACAGATAGTCCTTGTTTAATGACCACTCATTCAGCAACTGTTCAAACTTGTGATGGGACTGAATGAGTGGTAGTTATGACCAGTCCTCAAAGTTCTGGCCGGTGCAGTGCCCCTGCAGTCACATGTTTGTGATCCGGGTGCTTGGCAACTGGCACGGATTTCCCATGGTCACGATTGTGATTTGTGACCTTCCCTGCCGGCTTCCCACAAGCAAAGTCAATGGGGAAGCCATTAGGAAGTTGGAAGTTGTGATCATGTGAGGTCCTCACTTAACAACCTGCATGGTCCTTGCTTAATGATGGTAACCTGGGACTGCCAGAACTGCCATTGCGGTCATGTAATGTCACGCTTTATGCCTGCATCGCTTAGTGATGGAAATTCCAATTTCCATTGTTAACCAAGGACTACCTGTGCTGTCCTTGATTTAAATTAGAGGCTCAGTCACAGCAGATGGCAAATTAATTTTTAGTTCATTTGATCTTCCCCTTCCCTCTCTTATGAACTAATTTCTTAATGCTGAACAGAAACATTTTCAAAGTTGATATTGCTTAATATTTAACAGTGACTATTAATTTTATAATTCAGTGGCTAAGTTGATAATCATTCTGAACTATTGTTTGTTTAACAAGCAATAATTGGCTTGGTTCCCATAAAATTCTAGGCATAAACTCTGATTTACAAACTGTGATGGCTAGGTTCACATAATACAATAAGTAAAAACCAAGGAAGCAATGTTATGGTCTAGGTCACTGCATAAACTCAGTTATTCTCAATATTTCACTGACTTTTTTTCTCCTCAGAGGTCACATGGTGATGGGAGATTCTTTCAATACTTCTCTCTTCAAGCAAACTTTCCAGAGAGTGTTTAGCAAAGATCTCAGTGGAGAATTCCGAATGGCTTTTGGAGCAACTCTAGAAGTGAAGGTAAGTGTGATGGGTACTGCCTATAATGAAACATCTTCTTAACTGAAAGAATTGATAATCTACATTGCTTATTGTAGCTTTTGATTTCAGAGAGAGTTTATGTCCTTTACCTATTCTCTTGTAATGGAAAAGGATAGTTTCTGTCCAGCAGTTAGTATTAAACTCATTGTTTTAAGGGGAAACTGACAACAAATTGTTGAACTCTCTCAGTATTTCCTTATCTCTGAACATTATTTGAAACTCACAGTTCTAAAATGAAGAGTCTTGTAGAAGGGTTTGTCATGCTGAGGGATCATCAAGAGATCAAATAGGCAGTTATTTTGCTTGGAGTTTAATTTGGAATTCTTTTTATTTTAGACTTGTAGAGAACTGAAGATAGCTGGAGCTATTGGACCTTGTGTATCCTTAAATGCCAAAGGGTCAAGTGTTTCTGAAAATGTAAGTTTTCTTTGGTGATGGGGAAGAAGTACACAAATTGATATGTATATATAGATTATTTAAATCAGAGGTGGATAATTAACAGCAGGTGTGCCCCATATGGCCTTCCAGTCCCAGATGCCTTCAAAATTACTGAACTAAAATTCAGTGGTATTTTATTAAAACAGGACAAAACAGAACAAAAAAGGATAAAAAATTTCACCCGCATTTTCTCCTTGGATGTAAACATTCTTTAAACAGTGAACCCCTGATGGCAAAAAAAGTTGCCCATTCTTGATTTGGAATGTATGACAATATGTTATGCTGTCATAAATGAAAGATTTTTGGAAAAAGACCAAGGCAACACTGCAAAGAGCAAAAGAGATCATGATTGGAAGGAATACCTTCTGGTACTTGTGATGCACTTATGGGGCTGCAAAAAGATGCTTTGTGGGGTTGGGCTGACTGAAGAGGAGAAGGAAAGGCGAAAAATGGCAGTGCAGAAAAAAAAAGTGGAAAAATTATTTTCTGAAGAATAGAATGCTTTGGGTGACACTGAGAGAACATGCTAAAAATGTTATTGTTTTGCGATACTTAGTTGATGCAAATTGTTTATGTTTGGCAGAAATCTTGTGGGCACTTATTTAGGATTAAGCTCTCCTGACAGGGACTTATTTTTGAGTAAACGTACACATTCAAAACAACCCAGTATTTTAGGTTTTTCACACTTGTTAGCACAAACAAGGCTTTCATATTTATTTGTAATTTCATGTACTTATTTTACTTATTTATTTTTCTATTCACAGGTTTAGATCTATTAAAAACTTATATCTTGAGGGGTTTTTTTTCTCTTTTCTATTTCTACTGGCCTTGCCTATTTTAAATGGGAATTGTAATGTATTAGAAAAGATAAAATGCAGCTTTCAACTCCAGATCTCTCCTATGGGGTTTGGTGATTGACTGACATTACATATTCCTAACTGCTACTTTAGGAATTTCCTAATATTTAAAGAATTGTACCTCTGAATATGCAGTTTACATGTGGCAACTGTAGAGTTTTTTTGTTGGAACACAAATTAATATTGTCTTAGCATCAATGAAGCTGGAAGAGGAGGATAGATTATTATTCCCTCTGTAGTTGCCAGCTAATAATTATATATTTCAATGTCTCTTTCAATGTATATGCAAATTCTTCAGCAAGCATGTAAGTCTGTAATCTGTGCTGTAAATTTTATATAATATATAGAAGCTATAATATAAATATATTTCACTGTTAAGATTCTAGAATAAAACCTGAATTTTGAACTGTCTTACAGGAGCTTGGAATAGGTGGCACATATCAATGGAAAATTTGTGGTCTTGACCCCACCATGACTCTTGCCATTTATTTTGAAGTAGTAAATCAGGTCAGCCTAGTTTTTTTAAAAAAATCTTTGTAATGTATATGATTGTATATGATGTGGAATCCATTGATGGAGAGGCAGAGGAGATAGCATGTGCAGGAAAAAAAATGCTGTTACCCTGTTCCCTCAGCCTTGTTTCTGAAACTTTGATACCATTAAAAATCAGTAGATGTTTGGGCAACTGGCCAAGTCAGACCAAAGTGAAAAGTCTTCTGTGTGAAATGTGTAAAATATTTTTTAAACTATGGTAATTGACCAAGGATGGGTGATTATTGAGCTATAATGCAAGTGGGAAACTCTAGTTCTATCTGTTTGAAGATCTAGGTCCCAAATCCTCTACAGTACTTGAGATTAATGATGGTTTTATCAGAAATGAGAGTAACTAATGCTGGGAAGGAAAAGCTGCACTAAGCCAAATTTGTCATCTTAAGGAAGACTCAAGTCTTATCTAAAAAGGAATGCTCTCATTCTTGCTCTCTCTCTGATAAAGAATCATTTAAAATTCTGGGTTGTCTTCTTTTCAAGAAATTCAGACCTTACTCAAGTGGCAGTTCCAGAACCATTTACTAAGAGTAAGAAGTAAACTGTTTTATGTTTAGTAAACCTTATTTAAAGGTAAACACTGCTTATTGCACTTTCAGTCTAGTTCTGATTACTTTTGGCACTATATGTTAGTATTGTATTCTCTATGCCTCCAAGAAGCCAGTTTGTTAGTTGTTAATGAGTATATTATATTGCTTGTACTTCATTTTTCTTCTTTAATCCTATATGATGATTTCAACGTGTCTTTAAAATGTAAGCTGTATCTTAAAGAGAACTTTTATCTCACTGACTTTCAGCACAGCACTCCAATACCTCAGGGTGGCAGAGGAGCTATCCAGTTTGTTACACATTATCAGCATTCCAGTACACAGAGACGCATTCGTGTGACTACTGTTGCTAGAAAGTGAGAATCATTTGTGATAATTAGGCTGGGTTCTGTTGGCTGTGTTCTCTGTTGCATAAATTGTATTGCTTCATAAGCCAGATTAATAGTATACTCAACATAAACTGTGGTTGGGGGGTGAGCCTGCTGATTATCCCACAGATGATTAGGTCAACCACTCTGGTTTCTCTGTGGTCAAGCTGGCTATTCCAGCCACCTTTGGTTGCCTTCTATAGTCTTTCTTCTAAAATTTAAAAAATGGAGGAAGAAAAGTATAGCAATCCTGTTGGGAATCAGAACAATTACATTTGGGGTGAAGATCAGCTGTGATTTCCTCATTCCCTTCATGATCCTGACTAATTTGCCCTTCTATGGGAGAAGAAAGAAATATGCCCAGCTGACAAATGATGGTTGCTGATGACCAGCAAACCAGAGATTTGGATTTGTATGATATTCCCAGCCATGGTTTAAGGTAAACTAATCAAAACCAATCTATGATTAGAAATTGTGATTAAGGCACTCTGCAGTAGTATGTTGTGTAAACCAGGAATAAGGTAGCCTATGAATCTCATGTGGACCATCAGTCCCATTTTTGTGGCTGGTGTAAAAATGATACAGAATGAACATAAGCTTCTGCAAATCGGGTAGAAAGTTCTTTATGGCATTTAATAATCTAAAGTTCACTAATTCTTGCCATAAATTAGTTGGGCAGATGCACAGAGTCAGTTGCAACACATTGAAGCTGCGTTTGACCAAGAAGCAGCTGCTGTCCTGATGGCTCGATTGGGTGTCTACAGAGCTGAATCAGAGGAAGGGCCTGATGTTTTGCGATGGCTGGACAGGCAACTAATTAGACTTGTGAGTATGATCAATTGTAAGCCTGTGAATTTTAGAATCTGACAGGTATTAAGCTGATCACTTGATCAGACATACTCCCCTCAGCACCCTGCATTCCAAAAGCTTTGATACTTGTCTTGAAAATTCCAGGTGTAAATGCTAGTTAGTATGTTTTCAATTTGCTTTTCAGAAAATGATTGATTTAATACATGTAAATTAGTTTTGTGACATTTAGCTGGTTCAGAGAGGAATGTGGTTGGACAGTTAAACTCTATTCATTTTATGTGGCCACATTTTACTATTAAGATAGATACTCAGCTTGCCTATCAGTGACTAAAATACAAAATATTAATTAAAACTAATAATAATAATTAAAATTAATAATTAAAATTAATAATTAAAAACCTTGTGAAAGAGGTTTTAGCTGTTCTTCTAAAAGCAGGGAATGGGAGCCAGATGCTGCTCTTAAGAAAGTACATTCTGTAGCCCAGAAGTGATCCTGAAGGCGGTCTTCTCCCTCTTGCCTAAGAAAGATAACTCTGAAAGCAGGGTCGTCTTCAGAATGGTCCCTCCTATAAATCTCAGTGTCCAGCATAATGAGATCCTCAGATAATTAACCCATTTATAAGCATCCTGCAATATCAGTAACAAACTCTAATTAGGAGCCTAGAATTTCCCAACTGAAATTTCTGGACACTTTCACAAAGAGCATGTTGCAGTAGTCAGATCAAGATGTAATCAAAGCCTGAATAAATGTTGCGAAATCTGATTGGGTTAGGAATAGTTGCAACTTGGTGTGCTAGACATAATTGCCCAAATATGATATTTGCCATAGCAGCCACCTAGAAAGCCAGTGGCACCTGAGCATTAAGTAGCATTACTCTAATTGTGGACCTACTGCTTCAGGGAAAGTACAAACACTTCCAATGCAAGGTAAAACTCCGTTCTCAAGTCCAGTGTCCTTTTGACCAACAATACCTCTGTCTTCTGTGAGTTTAATTCTAGCTTGTTTTTCCTCATCCAGATCTTACTGAACTTAGACAATGTTCAAGGGTACTGATTGCTTCCATGGAATTAGATGTTAACAGGCTACTGACCACACCCCTCACTCCAAAGTTCCCTCCCAGCAGTTCATGGAAATGTTGAGCTACACAGGGGCAAGATGACCCAAAATCATAAGTCAGTGTATTTATTGTTAAATCCTGACCCTGTTTTTAAGTCAAAATATGATTGTTCAAAGCTGGCCACTAAATTTAATCCCAATTAATAATACACATGCATTTACCAGATAACATCAAATGCTTGACAAAGCCTATATTAGGCTTTTGCAGTTTACTGTAGGAACCCATGCTGCTCTTTATGATGTCATGCATTTGATGTCCTTAAAAGTGATTTTCTCTTAATAATCTGAAACAATATCCTTTTATAAAATGTAATTTTGGTTACATTATTACTGAAATACAGTAAATAAAAAGACAAATTTTATTTTCTTCTGCTGTAAAATGAACATTATTTTTGAAAAAAAAAATAAATTCACTGCAGGTGATCTATTTATTTTCCTTCCTTGTTCCTTTGTAAGATTTGTATAGTCTTCAAGGGATTATTGAGATCTGCATATTTCTCCAACAGTGCCAGAAGTTTGGACAATACAGCAAGGATGATCCAAATTCTTTTAGACTGTCTGATTCATTCTCTTTGTACCCCCAGGTAAGATGATCTATCTTAAAAATGTTAAAAGAAATAGGACAATTCATAAGAAGTAGCAGTTAGCCTTCGAGTCATTTCTGTTTATCAGAAGACTGTATTCAGTGTAAAATGTTTTATGTTTGATGCATGCCTTTTCTTTTTTGTATTTGGATCTCAAAATAATTCAGACAGGCACGAAATGAAGAATAAAGCAGATGTTTTAACTATACTCACTGTGACATCTCTGTTGTTTCTGTTCCATGTAGTTCATGTTCCATTTGCGACGATCTCCATTCCTTCAAGTGTTCAATAACAGTCCAGATGAATCTTCCTATTACCGTCATCACTTTGCCAGGCAGGATTTGACCCAGTCTCTTATTATGATTCAGCCTATACTTTATTCTTACTCATTCTATGGACCACCTGAGGTGATTCTCCTTCTATAGAAATCTATGGTTTACTGAAAGTTGGCTGAAAATAGTGATTTTTCTAAAAAAAAAAAAAAAAAGCCTTAATAAAATTGATGTTCAAAATGGGGTGTAGCATTTCCAAGTGTTAGCAAATAAATGAATAAGTCTTTCAATTTCACAATCTTTGAAGAGGAAAAAAATAAAAATTTCAAGGGTGCATCTCTTCAAATTCTGTAGTAAAAAATGAAGTGCTATATTTACCTTTTTATTTCTAAGATTACTCTTTCCCTCTTTATGTCTTGCAGCCTGTGTTATTGGATAGCAGCAGCATTCTTGCTGACAGGATTCTGCTGATGGACACTTTTTTCCAGATTGTTATCTATCTTGGTGAGGTAAATAAGCAATTAAACCTTTGTCACAGCTGAATTCTATGAAGGATAAGGAAATTCTTTAATTGTTTAGTTTTTAGACCCACCATTGCTGAAATCCCTAGGTGGTGCACAAAACAGAAAATATCTCAGAAGCTAAACCATATAAAATTATAAAATCTCGTGCTAAAATAGAATTAAATGATCGTGTTGGCAAAAAAAAAGCAATTAAGTATTGTAGGTTAATTGTCAGAGCTGTATTTTAAAGCCTCCTTAAAGGTCAGTGTGATGGAAGACTGTTTTGTACTGGTGAGTTCCTTCCATGGAAGCTTTATAATCATGGAGAAAACACATTCCCAGGTGTCAGCCAGCCTCTGGCTACCACTCAAATGGGTCTCTCCAGGTGACCAAGGCTGGGGAGAGGACTCTTGCAGGGCATAGCATTCTCTCAGGTATCTCAGGTCCACTGCTTCTTTCTTGACCTCTCATCTGAACTGAGAGCATTCAAGTCACATGCTTATTTGGAAAAGAAAGTACCACAGACTAGTGATCTTAAGGTGAGGAAACTGCTGGCACGTTCACAATGATAAAGCCTTATGGCTTTTTGTGTATGTGCAGATCACTAATCAGCAATTTATCCCCTGATCTAAATTAATGTTGTTTCCATTTACATTGTCCTTATGACATCAAAAGGAGATAAGGTGCAGTGAATGTCAGACCTCAGTAAATCATATGTCTGTGCATTCTGGAAATGATATGGATACCTGATCTGGGCTGCAAAAATCTGGAAACCACCAGAGAGCAGAAATGTGTTGTACCCTGTTGCCTCTTGTACTCAAACAAACATTTTCCTGAGGTTGCACAGCTGCCATGCAAGCCCATAAAAAGACACTGCTCAATTAAAGAGCTATTGCCAGGTACATTATGGGTGCCCACACCAGATCTGAAGCACAAAGATTCATACACGAAATGTTTTGCATCTCTCTAATACTATATAGATATGTGTGTGTGTGTGTGTATTTTTTTACTGTGGCTGTATTCACATTGTATAAGCCATCATTTATTTTTAGCATGATTTGGCAAAAACGTGTCATAGTGAAATGGTACATACATTATACTAAGTTAAACCATTGTTTATGAACCAGAAGAGCTACATTTCCATATTGTGCTAATTTGAAACTATGCAAACTATATTATGAGTTCATGTGATATGAGAACTCATATGATCTTATCTCTTGCTAGGGATGTGCAAATTTAGTTAATTCCAAAGAGCTCCAGAAAGTTCCTTTTCTGTCAAAACCAAGTGTTTCCTAGGGCAGTTCGAGGGTTTCTGGAAATAAATCCTCTGAATCAGAAGTGATCTGAAGTGTTGTGTGGGAATTCTGGTCCCCAAACAGGTTTCTTTTGTCCAGAATGACATATTGAATTGCTTGTTCAAAGGATTTACTTCTGAAATGGCAAATTCTGGCTGGAAGCACAACAGTAAGTGATAAAGATTTCCCCCCACATGTGTGGTTGAAGTGATTTAATTATCCTTGCTGTGGGGCTGAGGGGATTGTATCAAATAGTGATGGCAGCGGCAAGTGGATTGGGACCATAACAGGCTCCATTTCCTTCCAAAGGCCTTGCTTTCCCTTCATTATGTGCACAATTGCCTTAGAACCAAACTAGCACAAGTGTTGGTGGTTAGAATAAAAGTGTTCATTAGTTAAGAGACACATAGTATTTTTTTAATGTTCCCAGGCAAGATTTTTTTCACCAAACAGTTGCATGGCATTATTTATTTGGTTTTGTTGATTTTTCTAAAATGCGAAATGAATCATACATAAGGATTTTGCACATAATGTGAATTAGGTAGTAAAAAGACAAATATTTATGAAAATTCCTTGATTAATATCTCTTGCAATATTGTTTTCCACAATCAAGACTATTGCCCAGTGGCGTAAAGCTGGCTATCAAGATATTCCTGAGTATGAAAACTTCAAGCATTTACTGCAGGCTCCGCTGGATGATGCTCAAGAAATCTTACAGACAAGATTCCCAATGCCACGCTATGTTAACACAGAGCATGGAAGCAGCCAGGTAAGGAAGACTGTTAAAAAATTCAAACTACATTAATAAAGATGTGCCATAGCTGTATTTATAGATAATGATGGTCTTAATATATCATACCAGAGTGTCTGCACTATCAGTCCTGAGCTTTTGGAGAGATTCCACCTCATCCAGCACATGGTGACTCTGAGGATAGTATCAAGTGAAAACCAGTGTGGTGTACAGGTAGTCCTTGACTTACTACCATTTGTTCAGCAACCATTCGAAGTTATGACGGTGCTGAAAAAATGGTCTTAAGACTGGTCCCTGAGGTTACAGCTGTTGCAGCACCCCCACAATCATGTGAACAAAATTTGGGTTCTTGGCAGCCTGCCTGCACTTACAACCGCAGGGGTGCTTCAACTCCCCCCACCCGCCTGTCTTCCCCCCATCTCTGCCCTTTTGGCCATCCTCACAGGGCAGCAAGCAGCCCCAGAAAAAAAAGAAAAAAAATCTCTGGGGCTGCTTTTCATGCTGTGGCTTAGGGACTTCTTAGAGCACCGCAGCTCTGGGGCAGCAAGAAGCCCCTGAGCTGTGTGAAGCTGTAGCCTCCCCTGGAAGCACCAGCAAACATTCATTTGCCCAGCTGCCTTCTCTCCCAGTTCCCCACACCAACCTTCCAC